GATACCAACAAAGAAGTAAGCGGGGTCGAGAAAACCAAAGTTTGAATTCAAAAACTTGGTGGTTTCTGCTTCATGCAACGAATAAATAAAAACAGTCACCTCGGCTTCATTCAACTCTCAGCACGAGATGATATATTTTTCACAGTGTTGTTTGATGTTATCGATGTCCTAAAGTCACCTCGGAAACAACATCGGTTCTTAACGGTAGATGAACCGTTATAGTTACTCAAATGCGGGTTTTCAATAAACTTTTTGAGTTCTAACCACGTCACCTAGACAAGTTGAAAAGTTTAGTGACCTCAATCGTCAGACGACTGAACAGTAGCACTAGTAAAAACCAGTGTCATGTTCAAGTCGGTATCGCCATAGGATGTGCATCGAAAGCGCTGTATTCTCAGTTCACTCACTGACCAGTTCGAATTAAGGTGTCGATGTACTCAGCCCTCCCTCCACGGCTGCCGTGATCAAACGATCAGAATAGTAGTGCATTGTCTCTGTGGAACTGATTTCACAAAATCAGTTTGGATGTGACGATATCTTAGGAGAGAAGAGAATGTTGGGAAGCGGCTCATTCGAGTGGTGCGATAGATGCCGCGGACGTAAATTGTTAACCTTCTTGGTGGTAGAAACGTTTAAAATGGCGGAGATATATTTCAGGTAGTCGGACTGGTAAGACACAACGGGCATTTCATGAAACTTCGGAGGGAACACTAGTTGTTCCGTGTCGGGGATTTCTTTCGCTGCAAAGCTTTTCCACTACCCATCATCAAAACGTCCCTCAACTCAGTAAGTGGTTTTTGGTGGTCATGGGAACTCAAGGTCAGTTGAGCTGATTGCAGCCAAGCAGACACGAGACCAATCGACAAGATCAATCCAGAAGGAGGGTTTAGTTGGATTTTGTTGATCATTTAAGAGGACTATGGACATAAATTAGCCGCGATGCATTGAGAACAGATGGAATTTCCTAGAGTGAATACTACACACCGGAATTGCGTATGAAGCGAGAGTGGTGTGGAATATCTGAAGCAGGAAGCTCCACTCAAATGTTTCTTGGGCATCTAAAGAAGCCTTACGACCAGTGAGTTGTTCGCTCTCATTTGAACAGTCGTCCTCCAGTCCCGGTGGATCCACACCGCTCTTATCAGATTCCATCAGCAGTGCAAATCCAACGGCCGTGTCAGGGTTCGAACTCGGGACACCTGACACACGAGGCGAACGTGTTACCACTATTCAACCATCGCACGTTGGACGCATCTGAATTCTCACGTCTAAACGAGCGAACGATTTCTAATTTGCCGTACAGGTGAATTAAGGCTGTAAAAAGAGTCGCTACAATTCGAAGGTATTTCACACCAGTTCCAGTTTCACATGTCATGGTGTAGGCTAAACTACACATCACAGTTCGTATAAGTAGTTTCCACCAATTAGTTAGGCTACGTTGAGTTTCGCTCAAAATCTCACAATGAGTACACATTGAACTCTAGTTTTATGCACTGAGACTGGAAACGAGAAATACACTCATTTGCAAATCGATTTGGTTTTCACGAGAGACTCAACTGAATCTCTCGTTTATGCTAATCTACAACTGAATGTGCTGCATACAGGCCGCCTCATGTTTCAGTTGGCACGATATTCGAGGTATCGAAGTATATTTTTATGAAGGAAACTACTCACAAGGTAGAAGAGTTTTCAGCAACCTTGTGAGTAGTTTACTCCATGAAACTGGGAAAACTTTCCGTTCCGAATCATCTTAGTCATGGACTTGTCACCTCCCCCACTGGATGTGCTATTCACCCATCATCTTTTCGGGGCGGTTTGCGAAATATTGATACCTCACCTTCAGACCGCTAAAGCATCCCACCAGACGCAATGGAATACCGTGGGATGTTTTGGTTTTGTTCACAATAAATAGGCATTTTGACGCTGGCTCCACCTTGACTAAAGAGGTTCGTCACAACGCTGTTACTACTTAACAATGAACTAATCCAAGTCAAGCCAACCTCATGCATACGCCACAAGCACAGATGAACTTATACGTTCCGTGATTTGTGTGACCACTAGTCGGCTCGTTCTCGGGTTAAACTCACTAATTTGTGCAACACTCCTACGTCTCGTCTACATGTGTGAGGCGTCGATCGATTGTTTTATTGGTTACTTTACCTTCGTAATATGAGGTCATTTTACATTTGCAACCTTTACTTGAGTTGAGTTTAACACCATGAGATTTGGGGATGTAGGTTCAACTTGGAACCTAAACCTTAGCCATTGAATACACTACTCAGAGGGTTGCTGAAAACTCTTCGACAGCCCACGACCGGTTTCGCTCTTCTTAGGGCGCATCAGGTAGGCGAAAGATTCAGCTTGGTTCCAGGTGAGTTTACTGCAAAACCAAATTAGTTTGCAAATGAGTGTACTTCACTTAGCCACAAAACGTTTGACTCACGCTAGCCTTTTTACGGAATTTTCGGTTCCATTAAATTAAGTTGTTCTCTGTCCTCGGCTTCTTTAATGTTAGAAAGTCACTAAATCGATCAACAGGCGATGATTAGTCACTATGTATCATATGACCCTTATCAGAGTTCTTTTCACTGGCTCAATGACGTCATTTCAGGCCTTCTCCATCCGGAACAATCAAGTGGCCAATGGTAATTTAAATTTGTGTCTTTCTAAACTTCCCCTGAGGGCCTATCTGTGTTGGAGACCAACAGAAGAATGCGGACAGTCCTTCAGAAAAATCCGAAATGTGATGATAACTTGAACCAAATGTCATTTTTAACTATTCTTAGGTTGGAAACATATGACGGGTTCGAGTGTACCTGTAGTGAGGGAAACTGGGCTTGCCCGATTACCAATGGACGAACCGCGTTGGGCATTAGTAGTCTCAGCAGTTTCATCTAGTTTCAACTGACCAATCCGAGTTTGCGTTCAGTGCCTTTTGTTCGGTCTACGGTACGCCCAGCTAAATCCACACACCCGTAATGGCCAAATAGATGCCTGAAGCAACCAAACGAATCAGGTAACTACAAGCTTCTCACATGCGATAACATGGCGTGTGGACCTTGTATGCGACACCTAAGCAAGAAAAAACAAGTAGAATTTTGCCTGAGGTGCCATATATCAATAAAATTGTTGAGCCCTATCATGCTTGAGAAAAGAACGTAGGTTTTGGACTATTCGCTATGATTCGTACGCACTAAAAAGGCGCCCACATAGCGCATACATCTAATTCGATTAGCCCTTTCACAAAACGCATTGGCGATTCGCCAAACCGAACTGGAACACAAGAATTATTTGAGATCGTCAGCTGTCAAAACGCTGCATCACTCCTGGATCATCCTCTGCAGGCAGACGGTTTGAGTTAGACTGTAAGAGGTAAGACACCAGATACTGTGTACTATTGCTAATCAGCCTTTCCTGTCCAGTCCCTTCTGAAGGCACGTGCTAAACGTCATGCCTTCTGAGGCGATTGGCGGATGGGAACAGCGCGCGTCCATTCGGGGAAAACTTGGAGATTGTTTTTATCCATACTTTCTTAGTACATAAAGGTGTATTAGAAGAGAGTTCTTCGGATGGCGGACTTTGTTGCTTTCATGCTGTATTCATGATATTCTCATCGGCATATCGATGTGGTTGGATTATGACCCTTCCCGAATCTAGAGAAGAGAACGCATATAAGCGATCGGAGGCCGGTCAAGTAATCTGCAACTCGTGTGGTTAGCCTCGGCATAACACATGAACTTCGATGATATCCTTTGAATGGAGTTGGAAGGAAAAACCACCATAGCTAGCTTTGCAAAAAATAGTGTCAGGGATTCCATCTACTGACATTTTCTAGCAAGTAGTCTAACGCTTACAGGCTAATTCACGTTGAAATCTCTCAGTTTCACAGCCCACTTTCAAACGCTTTCAGTTAAACTGAGATCCGTCAGTATGATGCCTTTTCTACGCACATCCGTATTTGGTTACACAAGCTCAAAGGATGTCTTCAGACAAAGAGTAGTAATGGAGACTTCGTGCTCCATGTGAACCCACTCTCTACCGAAAAGCCTCCCGAGAAGCACTCAGTTCATCCTTATTGAGACTCACTAACAGCCCTCGCAAAACTTTATTCGTACAAGTGAATTCTTGTGGAGGTTTCGTCCTGTAAGTGAAGCCAATCTTTGCGGAAAAGCCGGGAAGCACTGTACAGCTGTTTCATCCTTATTGTGAATCATCAACAGTGCGCATCTCACGAAACTATGAAGAGTCTCGAACCCATGACCTCCTGACTGGCATTTTAATTACGATCGTTCGGATCACACTATCAACAATCTACAAGTAGCTCAGTGGAAGAATAAAGCTTATCCGATGAGTGAAACTTCTATCCTAGAAGTGGTTGCTCGAGAAGTTAGTCAACACGTGATCACGTAATATGGATCCTGTGACTGAAAGATGAGCGGCGCTATAGCCTGTTTGAGTGCGAGTTAGTCACACTACTGATCAGCCTCCCGTGACCGAACGGCTAACTGCTCAAACTACTAGCCAGGAAGTCACAGGCTTCGACACTCTCCGGAGTTTCGTGAAATGCGCACTGCTGATGACTCACAATAAGGATGAAACAGCCGTACAGTGCTTCTCGGCTTTTCAGCATAGATTGGCTTCACTTACAAGACGAAATCTCCACAAATATCCCCAATCTTCTCACACTACCAACAAGTGACTTCTTCTTAAACAAAATAGGTAACTCGTATGGTTTATCTTGTACCTGTTTGTCGTGTACTATAGCGATGGTGAACAAGTACACAATTAGTGATCTAGATCCAGTCCCCGTATTTTTATTTGTCTCCGACACATCAGTTCAAAGTTAATCGCTCTTATCTATCGATTTTTCTAAGCTTGAAGATCAATACTAGCGATATATTCGTGTACATGGAAAAAGCAGAAGTTCTTTGTATTCTCCCACCCCTTTTTTAGCTTCTTTATCCTATTGTCTGGAAAGGTATCAATCTACGTTCAGACTGATGAACCGCAATTGGGTGAAGAACCAACAGATGCAGCGAAACCCGGCAAAGTTGAAGATCGTTCAAAATTGGGGCAGTTCGTAGGCCACTTGGGCAAGTTTGATCTTTAAACCTTTCGAAATTACATCTCCAAAAGGACAAAATATCCCAACCTTTTTAACACTTTCTGACACGAGCACAGGTGACCGGGATTCCATCGGTTTTTCTCTCGTCCACGTTTCATCATTCGTTGTCAGTGGTGCCCTGTCCATCTGCCTCGGCCTGCACAGTCCGTAAAACAAGCACTTAAACCCCGTATTTTTACCCGGAAAATGTTTATGGAAAGAATATCCACAAACAAAGCTTTTGCGTTTACGTTTCTAAAAGATAACGAATAGAAAACACACGTTTCTTTGGTATTTTGTGGTTAAGACTTTACGCGTTTGCTCAAGGCTTCTCATTCCCGGCTACATTATCTAGCGCTTCACAAGAAGTAAATACGCCGAACTGCTTCGCCGGTGTACTAAGACACGCTGAACCAAGTATCCCACACCGAAACCGGGTGTGGACTTGAGGTTACCACTTGCCCATAGGGACGGAGAGACAAATGGCAGTGCACTAGTTCCACACCACCGCAATGAACTTATCTATAAACTAGCCGACAGCCTTGTACTCCAGAGAGTTGGGGTAGACGGTTAAATAGGGCGTCGGAATAACCAGTTAGATCGCCCGAACGCGAACATTATCGTCTGTTCTGATGTAATAGTTCAAGGGTGCCCAGCGCGCTCTCGTGGCAATCGTGCGAAAGTCGCCTCGCTTGTTCGACGCTCAGAGTTCAGAGCCTAGGACATCCAAGGATGTGCAGTACGAATGAACTCCAATGAGAGTGGACCTCGATTCCAGTTATTCTCCTGCACGATATGCAGTCGCCGAAATTTTTTTGTCAGCACACAAAAAGGACTGTTCAACTGAGAATTATGGGAATGAGAATTCTGCAAATCCCGCGACCATCTACAAGATACGGTCTGGGAAAAGCACGAATCCTTCCCTGGTGAGGCAAGCGGATCAGTTGCATCATCTCACCAAATCACTGCACTTCCTTCGTCCGGGGAGGCAAACGAACCTGCCAAAAATCGTCCACTGCTTGATCAACAGATAACCCGAAGCTCATTTGCGTGGATGTCAGCAGACTGTTGATGGTGATACAGAGGACTGCCTAACCAGGATCCCGGAGATGCAGTCGATGCCTCACTAGTGTACTACCTTTATCTCTGTTTCTAGACCTGTGCCAAGCGTGAAGACAGTCTCAGTGCCTTCCATGTAATTTGCATTCCCGACTCATAACATTATTGCTTCAGATGTAGAAAGCATACCCAAAACTCCACCATGGAAATTCGCATTTGTCATCAATCTTCTGGCAAGTAACGTTGCACTACCAATGACAAGGTTTGACAAAGACCCGTTCGACATTTTTGAAATCCATCAATAGTGGAAAAATGGAATCACTACACTGATTCATTACGGTGACAGATTACCTGACCTACTCAAACACCGTCAGTTGTCCTCCATCACAACAGACCACCCCCGGGTAGTCTTAAAACAGCAACAGATACTCTGAACTGAGCAGCACGGATTCGATCACAAGAGATCGTTCTTGACCTAACTCGTTCCGGCTCGAGATACCTGGACTAGGGGCACAGATATTGGTGTATGGTTGGATGTCAATCTTCTTTACATCTCGAATGTTTTTGATATAGTGCATGATCGTACTCTTCTCTAAAAGCTAGCTACAGTTTGTGTTTATGGTTCCATTCTTGACCGGATCAAATGCCGTCTGGAGCACTGCAACATAATTTCTAGCATTGGTGCCACTATGCCGAAACCTCAGGCAATCCCCAGCGAAGTTCTTCAAGGTGAAGCGCCAGATCTTCTTTTCTCCCTGGCATTCACCAACAACTCTTTATGCAAAATGTTCAATATCAAGCCTTGGAGGGTCATCCGGTTCCAAGACAGCTGATTTCCTAGCGCGAAATTACTACCGTTCAATGGGGAAGAATATCGCCTGCTGCCTCCACACCACTCTCGCCTTAGGTCTACAAACGTTCGGTGTCATAATTGAGGATATGAATCTTGGAACTATCGGGCAGCACAATTTGGACTACACGTCTGAATGTCAGTAGAAAAACAAACGGGGATCTTGAACTCTTAGGTTGGGTCCCAAACCGTTTGAAAGTCAGAACTGCGATGGCAACCTACATCAAGAAAAAGCCTGAAACTCTAGGCTCCACCTGGGCTGTTTCAACCAAGCCCGCTATCTTATCCAATTAACAGTATACTACGGAAGCCATGAAACCAATTCCCAAGACCCCCTTGCTTCAAGCTTGTAAATTTATGAAACATAGGGACGTTGCTTTTGCCGTAAAAACCATGTATACTGTGAGTAAATGAAACAATCACTGCTTCCATACCACTCATCCTCATTTTACTCCGCTCCGTACGGATGAGAAGATATAATCATATTGTCACAGAAGATACATTCCATGTAGGAGTTCCTTTCGCCGGTCATTTTTCCAGATATAAATACCCGTTGAGCTTTGGCTTGTTCGCTAAGCTGGGAGATTCGATTGCAAACGTTTCATCAACAGTCTAGGTGACATCATCAGTGCGTTATTGGGGAGCGTAGTTCTGCCTAGCGGTGGGTTAGTGGTTGTGTGTAGAGTAGTATTATGTGTGTGTTAATATATGTGTGCTGCTAGCCGGGGATGACCTTTGATCGCGATTAGTTGTTCGTTCGGGCGGTTCCATTGGTGGCTCCGCTGTCCGATGCTCACGTGACCTTTAAGCTTGACATCCACTGCCGTCGTAATCTGGTCGATGCTGGAATGACTTTTGTCCTTCCAATTCCCGGCTTGTAACCTTTATTGACAAACCGGTGCATCGGACTGGATTCAATTTACGCACCTGAGCCACCAACATTTTCCTCTATAGAAAACCCGTCGAGCTGTCCATATAACATAGGTATTCAGGCAATTTCGAATGTTCCAGAAATATTTTAATTTATTCAACTTAGACAGATAAGAATGGAGGGATGTTATCCCGTTTTCGAGGGGCTATCTGTGTTTGGGATGCCTGAGCTGTCTTAATTTCCATAAAAAAAGGTCTCCTTCCAGAGGAATCTTCTCTGAGGAGTAAATGATACCTTTATTCAAAAGGTCTCTGCAGATAAGACAACATTTTGTATGGCTCAAAGCAAATGGTAATTAAATAATCGGTTACTCCTCAAGTCAGCCAGACTCTTTAATTAGTATTTTCACTGAAGGACAGGCTTCCCATTGTTCAGTAATTTTGTTAGTAAATGTGTCTACCAGTTAGTCTTGTATGAAGTTTGCAAGCGGAAAACCTGCCAAAATACTGTGCACTCCGTGTAGCATATAAGCTTTCGTTCACACATTGTTCATTCTACTCAACAGAACGTGGAGGATGCTTTGGTGAAGTGGCACTTCTGGACAAAGAATCACTCCGAACAGCAACGGTTATCGCCGATTGTGAGACAGAGTTGATTGTGGTCGATCGAGCACTGTACAACCGCTCCTTGAAGGAGGTTCACCAAGTGGAACTCCGGGAGAAAGCAGAATTTGTCAACCGTTGTCCAACATTCGAAGGTTGGCCATATGCTCTACTAAAACAAGTCGGCTTGTCTTTGAGGAAGGTAACCATGTCCTATGGGGCTCCCGTTGTTCGTCAGGGAGAACCACTGAATAAAATGTTCTTCCTTCTCAGGTGGGTATCTACTGGGATAAGAAAAACACCTGATTTTGGGTTGCTAGATTGCACTACAAGCTATCCTAAGGTACACCCTACCTAACTGCACCTAAATGCAGCGCAACAAAAGAGAGAGAGTTCACCTGCCGAGTACACACAGTGATTCAACGATTAGGTGCAAGAGCTGATTTGCTTTCGTCTAATATTCTGAGATGGCTCAAGTGATTACAGCACGACTTTACTGACCGGAAGGTTCGTGGTTTGAACCCGACCTCTGCCTCTCGACTTCCCCTGTCTAGGCTTGGGCAACCTGGCAGTATCCCAGCCTGCGTGCTTCCTTCGGGTGGCATGGCAGCTAGGTACCGGAAGGGTGTTACAGCTGAACGACGAATATTCTGAGTGATACTAATCCGACTGGCATACGCCTTAGTGGCAGCTGAACTGGAAGAACCTTGGTTGCAAATTTTGGGGTGATTTGTGTCGGCTTATCCGATGAACAAACTCTGTGTTAATTAAGCGTACTCCACACTCGTAGTCCACAAAAGTCGTTGGAAACCACACTGATGTCTTGCGAAAATGAAGACACAACAAAGCTTGAAGGCACATTATCTGGAATGAAATATAACTCAGGAGGGTCTGTAAGCGACCGTGTGACAGAATCAAAGCGAAATCCACATGAACAGGAAGCCTCGTGGTTTCTTAAATATGAAACAAGCGAAGGGATGCTTAACTAATCATAAAGAATAGTTCCACATGAGAAGTTGTCACTCGAGGAGCCAACCAATAAGTAGCCACGTGAAGTGGTTTCTACGATCGAAGGATGAGCGGCGCTACTCCTCTCTAAGGGCTCGTCAAACACGCCGCTGATCAGGTGTCCGCTGTCAAAAGATCAAACTGCCAACCGCGAGGGTGTGGGGTGAAGACTCCCTGAAGATTCGGAAGATGCCCACAGTCGATGATTCCCAACAAAGATGGAACGTTTGTGCACTGCATATCGGCCTTTCAGGATAGATCGGCTTAAATTTCGGGACGAAATCTAAATTAAGAAAATACAGTAAAGCCCTATTAAATTTCATCATAGCCGAGAGCGGTGCTTAAAAAACACGCGCGTAGCTGACTTAATAGCGCTTCAATACAAACCTCATAGCACCAATTAACATTAGGTCAGATTGACCGATAGACCTTGATTACATGCTTTTGATAAATCTAGCTAGTTGCAAAAGCTACTGAAACTTTCTTTAAAATATGATGTTTATTTTTCAGTGGCCAAGTACAAGTTTCAGTTGATATTCTCATGCACCAAAAACAGTTCCCTGAAATGATGCCGAAACCCAAGCCCCTGTCAACTGGTGCACTGCTATCGACTGACAACAGCACGCTGGATATCGAATATCAACTGAACCCGCTGGAATTGTAAGTTTATTTTTAAGAACTACTCAAGTCCAAACGGTTTTTATCTCGAATGGTCACTTAGTGGAGACGTCCACTAATATTTGCCGCAATGGGTGCTTCCAGTGAACCCTTCGACAGTATCATTCGTTGTATACCAAATTACTCATATTGACTCTTACGAATTCACAGTGGTTTTTTCAACTATAGATATATTCCTGAATTTACGTTTGGAGAGTTAATCAAAAGTACAAACTCCTGGGTCATTTTAGAGGTGTACAGCGCCTTGAAGTTAGTGTTCTAGTAGCGGCCCAGATACAAGTGAATTTTTCAATTGTTTGATGTTTATCCATGTCTATCCGCACATGACTGCAGAACACTGGTGTGACTAAGCTACTGTTGCTTTCTTAGTAGTGTAAAAAAATCACTTCACAAGCTCATTGGGCGAGTGACGCTGTGGTCAACCCCAAAACACAAATGAACTAGAAAAATTCAATTCACTGCAAAGAATACTTTTGTAACTATCGTAGATTGAATGGCTTCATTTACCCACTAGGTTGACTGGCTTCTAGCAAGGAACTGATCGGTAGCTTCCTTTGATTTTGTTTTTGATGTTTTAGTGTTAGTTCCCCGCTTGAAACTGAATTCCCCATACACAACACATTTCCCGAAGTGTTATATTTGTTATATTTGTCAACCGAAATTTTCTAAAGCTCTTTTTCTCGACAACTGGTCGCCAAACATCCTATTATTATGACAATGCAGCAGTGAGTAGGGAAACTGTGAGGGCCCAGACAATTGATTTTGGCTTGAACTCACCTTTTGGTCGTCCGTTTATGGGAGCTGCCGTGGATAAGAGTTAGAATATCGAAAACCGTGCTACATGGTAATGGAACATCAATTAAGCGCTACAAAACAATTGATCTCTTGCTAATGAGAGGAATGTCGTTTGTCCATGCCTTTCTTCTGTCTTCAAAGCTGGACAGTCTACGTAAAAGTTTCTGCAAATAATCCATATGATGTCGTGGTTGCATTGTCGATTAACTCTGTGCTTTTATTCATCCATTAGTCGGTAGATACAAGCCGATACTCAGCGAACAGTTTAACAGCTGAAAATGGCTCTTCTTGCCGGCAAAAGTTGTAGTGTTCATTTTACAGAGACAGATACTAGACATCTTAAAATCCTTGGACCACACAATTGCCAAACGGCTACCAACAGGGTCAGTCATCTGTACAAACGCCAGATGAAACATGCGTATCCTAGGATAACTCATTGTCACCGTTTATGGCAATAGACAGGTGCACTATTAATGGAAGAAAGCCCGAATGAATCTTGGAAAGAAAAAAAGGGTCTGAAATACCTGAAAAGAAGCCCTATGTTCCTAGGGAAAACGGCCAAGAGTGGGGCGCCTACATATTTGAACATCATTCACATAGACATATGTGAGTATTGTGTTGGGGTGAGGCACCATCCGTGGCATAGGCACAACTTCTCTTGCGAACCTCGCCAGATATAAGCCCACGGTAAAACGACAGGCGAATTTTAGCTATAGAGTTTGGCTCAGAAATTGCAACATGCGCGTCAGTGCGATCGATCGTAGGACCTGTTCCGCGGACTTTTCAACCAAGTACAAACAGAATCACTTGGATTCCCGCCAGAAGGGCATGAAGATCCCATGGTGCTCAATTTGAGTGTAGCATTGTTTATTTCACGTTGCCGTGTCGTCATATGTCCCCACCAGTCTTTCGCCAACAGTCTCCTAGACCAGAAAGCAGTATTTCCTTCTTGGGCCTATGTGAGGAATGCATAAACTACTTCAACCTGATGAGTTTAGCAGATTGACACAGTCTCAGGAAGGCCAGATTGCTGAAAGCAACCAGTGAATACCCGAAATCCACTGAGACTCTTAGCTCCGCTAGATGCTGACCAGACAGTCAACGCCCTCTCAATATTCAGCGCGTCGCAGCCTTGTGTCAAACCCAGACAGTGCGAGTCAGCGTTGATCAAGGTCAGACAACGCCTCCGCAATATGCAGCGCATCGCAGCCTCGTACCAAGGCCAGACCACGTGTGTCAGCATTGGACCAAGTTCAGACAGTGTCCCCATGATAAATAGCTTGAGACTGCTGTACTTTCGGAATCGCACGCACTCACGCTGTCGCACTCGCTTGTTCGGAATATAGCTGTGAATCTTTTTTCGGCATTAGGCACTGGAGCGGGTCAGCAGTCAGCTATGACAGATTGGCGAATCAGCAGATATAACACACAGGGTGACGCAGGAGGCAAGCAAATATTTTCACTTGATGTCGCGTTGCAAGCGCTGACTTTCAACACGAGTTGTATACGGCTAGTATTCCACAACTGAGGAGCTGGCATTGCCAGTGTCCGTCACGTCGTCCAACACTAGCTTATACTCTTGTGAGCGTGATTTTCCTGAACTATGTGCACTTTTCCGTTCACATATTGTTGAAATAATCATTTTTCTTGTATTCAAACTCAACCGTAAGCGAATGTTGGTGGACATGAACTAGCCGCACTCGAACATCGAATTCTCTGCAGGGTCCGAAAACCAAAAGCTCTCCTGACGCTCAATTCGATAGGAGAATCGACAGCCAACTTTGGATAATAGTGCTTATGAAATAAATGCGGGACAGACGTGATAACTAACTTGAGGCCCTCTTCGTTATTACGCAATATCCAGCTGATACTGCTCACAAAGTTTGATCGGATTGCAAACTGAGTTAAGACAGCTTCACACGTGTCGGTCAACCTATCTGTTTTGTACAATCAGACAATCAAGCTTCAGCCGATGTCCCCAAAGATGCTCTGTAATCGAAAGGAAACCAAATAGGCTTTAGACAGCCACTAAGATGATTTATTCAGGAGCGTATTTTTCAGTAGACTTCCGATGAAATTCTATTGATCTCATGCCACCAGGGGACAACCTATCTACAACCAGTCTTTATGTACTGATCTGGAGGGTATCGTAAATTGGGTGTAAAACACTCCGCCGCTTTGGTAGATTTCGTGAACACACCATAGTTTGCTTAAGGGGTGGATTTAAAGACATGCTGCGTTCGATTGAGTCCGATTATGGCGTCACTCCCGTGGAAGCTTTTTAGATGGTCTTTCCGGTCCCAGCAGATCTCTTGGATTTTCCATTAACTAGAATTTCTACCGAGTTGAAATCTGTTCATTTGGGGGCGTGATGACCCAAATGGTTAGAGCGCGAATTCACTGACCGGAGGGTTCATGGTTCGAACCCGACCTCCGCCTCTCGACTTCCCCTGTCTAGGCTTGGGCAGCCTGGCAGTATCCCAGCCTTCGTGTAACCCTTGGGTGGCATAGCAGCTGGGCACCAAAAGGGTGCTACAGCTGAACGATTTTTTCTGTTCATTTACGTAAAATCTGACCTTGTATACGGCGGCGAAGCACGACGGTAGTGGAACCCGACTAGACAACTGCAAAATGAGACGATACCACCGACGTGCGCCTTGTGTTATCCGACCCATCGCAAGAGTTTACTACAATCCGGGTAGTCAATAAGACCAAGATTCAACTTGCAAGTCTGGAACAGAGGAGAGCAAATTTGAAGCCTTGTGCGTATTTGCCCCAGCACTGACCTTTTTTGTGCATTCGTCACTCATAGATTGTCACAGAAGGAACGTGCGAAGCAAAAACTGGTGCAAAAACCACTCAGCCGTCTGGGCTACCGGTTTGGAGAACGCCTACGTGGATTGAGACACATTGATCTGGCTATCTACTCCGGTGGCGAGATATTTGGTAAGTTGTTGCAGTCATATAAGCGACCGAAATTTGGAGTCCTGTCTTCTAGCTTAAGTCCCCCTAATGACAGAGGGCTTTTTACGAGGCCACCTTGGTGTAAACTCATCGTTGTGATAACTGTTCCACACGGGCTTACGGCGTGTTTAAATATTTTGGAACTGACGATATTGGCTTTCCTCCAGAGAGAATGGAGTTATAGAGGGCTGACCCCAAAGGACTACACTCCAATTGTTCCAGGTCGTCTGCACATCCAAAGGGACACTCAATCTCATCATGATTAGCACTTCTGATGCCGGGAAAAAATATACCAGCAAAAATGATCAAGAAGGGGTAGATATGTCACTCAGATGCCGAACAATATATAATCCAACAATAAGTGCTGGCGGATAGAGGAAGTGGGAAAAACTTTTGAAAACGGAAATATTAGCACACAACTCCATCTAGTCCGAGCACCTGGCTTGGTGGGAGACAGTGGTCTGAGAAACGGCTACCACCTTGAATGTTCCAGCTGGTGCCCATCAAGTCTAGCATTGAAAGGGCGATATGAACCCGAATGAAACGTAGAAGCCAATTCTCTGTAAACAATGAACATCCAGTGTCACTGCTTAGGCGTAACAACGCATCTCGACCAGACGGAGTCAATTCTCTACACTGGGAAAATGTTAGGAAAAGCTGAGGCTGGAATAAAGACAGAAAAGAGCACCTCGACTGTGACACTCGTATTCGAAAATTGTGCGAGAACATCACGTGGAAAACCGCTGAGGCATCACTCCAGTGGCCATAGCTTCTAAGGTGCCCTCGGGTATTGTCCATCGTAGGTTGATCCGTCATCAGGTGAATCAGATTCGACAGAGTCAAGAGGATTTCCTAATGAACGGATTGAGGTGGTCATATCCTCATTTCGTCACAATCACGGTAGTTCAGCAACCGATCCTGATGTCAGAAAACGGTCGTTTTTATTTACCTTTAAGCAGCTTCCTATTCCGCTCATCGTCGGGAATTATATCAGTGGCTAGAGGTGAGGAGTGTTTCTCATAACTTTCTGTCTTATAAACACTCCATGTATCCCCTCTCTTGGACGCTTTATGTGTCTACGGAAAATCCATTTCCAAATTTACTAAATCCACTAGTATCTTGGTTGTTGGTCTGTTCGCCGAGCTTGGCAGTTGGATTGCAAACGTCTCATCACCAATCGAGGTGACATCATCAGTGCAGGGTTGGGTGGGTGAATCCCTCCTCTCCCGCCTGTGAGTATACAGCCTCTAAAAAGTACCTGGTAGTTCTGGAAACGGTCTTCGCGTAGTTTGATTGGTCTCCTGTGAATCTGACGTGGTTTCAATCTCCTGTGTCTGGTTGGTTCGTTGGACGCATTCAATTCGGCAGTTCTGTGTGCGGTTGTTCTCTTGTGATCCGGCCGTTTTCTTCTTGCTTGCGGTGTGAGCTTGGTCTCCTGATTGGTTGATTCAGTGGCCTTCTGTTTCTAGTGATTGTCTTCGTTTGACCCAATTAGTTCGTTGGTTGCCGTTAGGTTTCTTGGCTTAGAGTCCCGTGACTGTGTGGTTCTTTTGCTCGTAACCGCTGATAGACTGGGTCAATGTCGATGTGTTTATTGATCGAGTTTTGTGTGGAGTACCACGCCTCGGCAAATTCTCGCCCCCGTTTTGTTCCTGCGTGAGCGAGTATTTGAACATTGCCCCAATTGAACGTGTGTCCTTCTCTGTCTTCGTGGATTGAGACGAGT